AGGTCCACTCCACCACGTAGCCATCGCTCTAGACTCCTGTGATGACAGAAATACCTAGTCACATATCTCTTTTAAACAGTTTTCTCCCTCCTCTGCTTCAGTGCAGTATACATTATTGAACCCATCTTATTCAGTCTCTCCCCAACCCCGAGGTTAGTCCCATTCTACAACAGTGGCATCATGCGATATTTGTCCTTTTGTGACTGGGATATTTCACTCAGCATAATGTTCTCCAGAGTCAACCATTTTGAATAATATTGGATGCGTTAGCTTTGCTTTTCTTTACTCTTCTTTGTTTTAGTCAGAGAGAAGCTTAATAGTTGAGTGTTGCTCCAGAGGCTTTACACTGTGTAGATGATTACATTTCATTTACTAAATATTTATACTATAATGTACTTATGTACTTATGGGTTAAAGCTCAATCAAGAAGACAAAGATTCTCACCACTGGACCAATTGGCAGCACCATGATAGATAGAGAAGAAACTAAGGTTGTCAACAATTACAGCTTGCTTGGCTCTGCAGTCAACACTTTTGGCACCAGCAGCCAGGAAAACAAAGGATGAAGTACACTGGGAAAATGTGCTGTCTGGGACATCTCCAGAGTGCTGAAAAGCAATGATGTCAGTCTAGAGACTAAGGTGCACCTAATCCAGGCCATGGTCATTGCAATTACTTGCTATGGATCAGAGAATTGGACTATGACTAAGGATGACAGAAGAAGAATCTATGACTTCTAATTGTGGTGCTGGAGAAGAGTCTTGAACATACCATTGGCTTCCAAGAAAACAAATAGGTCCGCCTTGGAGAGGGTGAAACCAAGTTGCTCCTCTGAGGCTAGGATTTTGAAGCTCTGTCTTACACACTTTGGGCACATAATCAGAGGAGACCAGTCCTTGGAGAAAGATATCATGCTTGGAAGGGTAGAGGAAAGGAAAACCTGGGATGAGATGGATTGATACAGTAACTGGGGCAATGAAGGTTGGTGTGTTGGAATTAGTGAGACTGGCTCAGGACAGGGCAGGCTTCAGAGCTGCTGTATATGGTATTACTATGGGCTGCAGGTGACTCAAGAGCACGTAACAACAACACAGAAGCAGCCTACAAAGCTTCAGAAAGTCTTGAAGTGCTGAAAATTGAAAATTTTGTTCTACATTTTCCCTTCTTTATGTAAGGATTCTTCAAGAGAATCTTTGATTTAAATATTCAGTAATGGTATCAGGGCACCAGTCGGTTCTTCTGTCTCATGGCAAAAGAGGCAATTGCGCTTTCTACGAAGATGGCGCCGAAAGCGAAGAAGGAAGCCCCGGCCCCTCCCAAAACCGAAGCCAAAGCAAAGGCATTGAAGGCCAAGAAGGCAGTCCTGAAGGGCGTCC